ACTGGTATTTTAAATGAACAGCCCATAGTGATATTTTTGAAAATTTACACACCAAAAATGATATTTTATTTGAAATGCATGCGTTGATGCTTATATTAAATATTCTATATAGTCTTTTACTAAATTTATATATTATGGAAATTTTTGAGAAACCATTTCTATGATATCATTTGAAAAAAAATATTACTGAATACTCTTCATTTCTAAAATATCAGTTTTATATAAATTTATTTATAAACACTATAAACTGATTTATAATCTTACAAACATGTTATAAAACTTTAAAATATTCAACTTTAACTACACCGAAACCACAACAAATCATGTTAATAATATGTGATATGGTTGGTTTCGTGTCTTTGAAATCTTTTTTCAGTCATTTCATGATAAACCGGAACTATAAGTCATTTATGGAGGTTTGACAAAAAAAATTGAAGCAAAAGGGATAAAAACAAAAAAAAGAAGATTTTGGAACAAGTGTTGTTTATAAGACTAGCAGCGTAACGTCTCTCTAACACTCCTATTAATCACAAAATGGCATAGTAATTGGTTTGCAACCGTTTACAATACACGTTGCAACACATGGCAATATCCAATCTGAAGTGTCCAGTGATCATACTGCGAAATCGCAAACATATTTTGTTTGGAATATTTTAGGATCTGATTTGGTTTATCTTGAGTCGACTCGGTTCCGTTTTATTTTTATGTAAATATTCCTCTAAACACATGAAATCCCTAAATTTGATTTGTGTATGGTTTTAAGAGATCCAAATACACTTCTATATTATTTGTAGCTGGGATCTTTGATGATTTAGTGAATTAGTTCTTATCATTTGTTTCTCTCACTCTTATAATTATGTTTTTGCTATAACTTTTCCTCGTTGCTTCGTTCTTAACCATTGGCTTGGTTAGCCTTGTGAGTTGTGACAAAAAAAACAAAAAAAACCATTGGCTTGCCTCATTGTGGAATCATGAGTTTGGTAGATTAAGTTAATTTATGGTTGGATAATTATGCTTATGGCTATTTTTTTTGTAGGATCATTTATACTAGGTTATATTTGAT